TTTTATAGCACTCAGGAACATTGTAGCTATCTATCAGTGAAAGAATTTTGGCAATCCGACCGGAGCGGTTCCAGAGATTACCCCCTACATACAAACTTACAAATTTTATCTCTTTATAATATTAGTATAGATTTTTTAAAATCTTTATTTATAATTAGGGAGTTTTTCCTAACAGAAGGTTTCAGCCTAACTAATACTTAATATTAGTATAGATAATATACATCCGGCAAGCGATTGTACCTGATGCCATGCCACCGACGCTTGGACACACTTGACAATTACCAATATGACTTTTTCCGAGTTATATTTACTGTATGATTCTTTAGACACAACTCACTTCAGTTGAAAAAAAAAACATCACGAGGAAACCTGGACGTAAATAATGTCTAATTATAAGTTGCGTGGTGATTAATGCTCAAACTTTCTCAGCAGTGGGCACTTATAGGCTGATGATGATGATGGGCATCGAACTCAAGTTCCCTAAGTTAACAGCCACATTATCTAAACTAATTACTACAACCTAATTAACACAAGAACACTTCTCCCACAGAATCTCACGACACACGATAATTAAAAACTTACGAACACAAACTGTCAACAACACTAATTAGAAAATACATTCTATTTTTAAACATGGCAATTAAACAATTTGTTTTCGACGCTGACAACACGCATGGCTAGCTGCAGTTTATTACTCTGGCAACATTTTACTTGCAAGTGTGAATTACGTTTTAAAATGGCGATGAGGCGTGAAATGGAGTGTTTTCGCGCCTTTGAGATCTAAAAATGGTTGACAGATGTGTGGCAGACGTTTTGCCTGAGTTGGACGAGTTTTATTACTTTTGTAATACTTGCTAAGTATATTTAGTGATTTGTAACAACTTTGTTTTTGTTATTGTGTATTGTTTTTCAGTGCAGCAGATGGCTTAACATCAAGCAATGATATTTTATTAACACAGATATGTTATACGCTCACAAAACGCACGAAAAATGAGTTCCGCGCCAAGCGTCAGCACACACACATAGGTACCATTCATTAATTTTACATAAGTGATTATGTAAAATTAATGATTACAAGTTACAATTGTAGAAAAAGGATAGTATGATAATCTCCATGGAGTTTCTTGCTCGTTCTTCTCTGACACTCTCTCTCGCCTTACCCTAGGCGGGAGAAGTCATATGATGATTTTCTCCTGACATAAAAAACAAAAAAAAAATGGTTAGCCCCCTGTGCTCATGTATGGTCAGCTCATCTATGGAGAGAACCCTGTGAAGAATTTAACTATCGGATGTTTAAATAGAATTGTTTCCAGTTCTAGTTTTAGTTAAAGTCCAAATTCAAAACGGCAGTTAATCATTAATAATGTTAGTTTTTTAATGTATTAGTAATTTTCCTTAGTTTAATGTTTATGTTTACATACGGTAAGTGATGTGTACATCTGTTAAAGATATACATACAAGAACTCTGTCTCAGTCATAAAATTAAGAAAACGATTTTATGTATATTGTTGATGTACCTTATTAAATAAATAAATAAATAAATCATAGTTAACTGTTCTTTCTATGAAAAAGCACGAATTGTGACTAATATTTACCCGTGTAAAAAGTTTTGTTTATGTCAAACTAGCTTTTGCCCGTGTCTCCGTTCACGTGGAATAGTGACTCCCTGCAGATTTTTGGTATAAAAACTATCCTATGTCCTTTCGCGAGTTCCAAACTATATCTGTACCAAATTTCACGGAAATCGATTCAGTACTTTAAGCGTGAAGAAAACACAGACAGATAGACAGGGTTTCTATCGCATTTATAATATTAATTTGGATAAGTAGGTATACTAGGAAAACTTTTTTTAATGAAAAATAGCACACTTTTTTTTTTGGATTATCTAAAAAAATACGAATACAAAGTATCGTTAAGTTTATGCACGAGGTTGTTATTATTTTTAAGTAGGTCCTCCGTCCTACTAAATATAAATTAATGACAACGATTGATCCTGCCACTACCTGGTAATTACTTTTTACATATTTAGACTGAAAATACTTATTATATACATACTTACTGTTAAACTTGGTACCTGTGGGAGAGCCATGCTTCGGCACGAATGGGTCGGCTCGACCGGAGTGATACCACGGCCTCACAAAAAACCAGCGTAAAACAACCACAGCGTTGTGTTTCGCCATGTAAGTGAGGTTACCAGAAGGCCAGTCCTTCCCCTGCCCCAATCCCCAAATCTCCAAAAGCTCGGCAACGCACTCTGAGCTCTTTTGTTCGCGACGTCCATGGGCGGCGTTGATTGCTTACTATCAGGTAATGCCCCTAATCGTTTGCCGACCTATGAAATAAAAAAAGATATCTACATAGTATAAGTCTGTGAAGTGGTACCTAATTTAAATTAAATAGTTTTTAGAGTGGTTCCAAATAATCCTAGCTAAAAATAACTAAAATTGCCCATCGATTGCAATTTAATTTTACTCGCATCATAAAACGAACGAGCTCCGATCTGTTCGCGCCAAAACAAACGTCACATTTCCCGCCCATTCGTATCAATCACTTTGACAGCTCATAGGGTTGACAGTTAGAAACAATGATCGATATTTTGTAATTATAAAATTATTGACAATATTAATTTGTTTTATTAAGATGAATGATATCTACGTATAAATTAAGGTTTAATTTGTAATTTTATGGCAGTCATTTGCTAATTGCAACTTTATTGTTATTGCAGTACTTTTTTTCGAGGAAGAAAATCATCCCACGACTTCTCTCACCTGGGATATGGCGAGAGGGAGAGCCAGAGTTTTACTAAAAACCCGGCGTCCCTTCTTCTGCTACAGGCCTGCCTTTTTGCACTTGCCCTGCAACCCCAGCTGAGTTAGGGCAGTATTTGTGTTTTGTTATATGTTAATACAAAAGATATACATACATAGTAACCATAATCAGCTGGAAGACGTTCACAGATGAATACAGGGTTTCTCTCCCTCAGTGAATTCAAGTCCTGCATGTTCAATGACAACTCGCCAATAGTGGCCACTTGTGTTTATTCGTTCCTTGCGACTCTGGCGATGTCATCGGTCCACTTAACGGGAGGCCTACTCTACATAGGATGTCTTACATTCCTTTATTGATCCGCACACAGAAAAAAATCCAACCGCACCGCGACCGCGACCGCCTATCCGCTTTCTTATACGAACGTCAAAAATCGCGCCAAATTTAGACAGCTGTCATCGTTATGTCAATGTCAAATAAGTTGAAACAGCCCTAAAGTTGCGGACGTTGTTTCAAGCACTAATGGTTTCGTTAATTGTGAACTGAGATTATAATTAGAATTGAAACTGACTATTTAACGAGCTAAAGACTTCAAATTAATTGTCACTCGAGAGTCTGAATGCTTGGCAGTCGGCGTGGTAGTTAAAATTCTTTTGATGAACAACTTTTTTTTTGTTTACCTAAGTAGTCATTTGTTGGTATTCCGGTTGGGATGGTTTCATTAATTTATTGATTGCGTCCTTTTCTTTGGTCGTGTTGTTGTTAATGCAACTTGTGAGTTCAGAATCACTGGGTCGTTTCCCGTTCGGGAAAAGTTTAGTAGGTATGCAGTCTAGAATTGTAAGGTACCGCGGCCCCGGACTGAAGTGATGTTCCCGATTGCTATAGGCTACATTATACTTGGGTTGGGCAAACGAGCCGGCAGATTACCTAATGGTAAGCAATCAGCGTCGCCAATAAACCCGCAACAACGGAGGAGTTATGAGTGCTTTTCCGACCATTTGGGAATAATAGGGGGAGGGGAAGTATTGGGCCTCCGGTAACCTCACTCACACGGCGAAACACAACGCTGTGGTTGTTTCACGCCGGTTTTCTGTGAGGCCGTGGTATAACTCCGGTCGAGCCGACCCATTGGTGCCGTAGCATGGCTCTCCCACCCACTTTTAGTCGAGCTATCGCTTTGAACGTTTTTAAAATCTGGGATACATTATTTGAATACGCGTGCGAAGCCGCGGGCTAAAGCTAGTCTATACTAATATTATAAAGTTTTTATGTAGGGGGAACCACTGGTCGGATTGCCAAAATTCTTTCACTGATAGATAGCTACAATGTTCCTGAGTGCTATAGGCTATAAAACATCACGCTACAATCAAACGGAGCCGAGCAGCGAGTGAAACCGCGCGGGAGTAGCTAGTATAATTTTAATCTTAGTTAATTCGCTAAGATTTGGTGATCATTTACTATTGTCGGTGTTCAAATACAATTTGAACGCGAAAATTAAAGGCAGCAAAGCATTTTATTGTGGTCGTTATTATTTTGTAAAGTCAGTTTAACTACTTTGCCGCGACGACGTGCACGCTGGTCATGAATGAGTTTCGTAGACTGTTCTTGAAAAGTTGTAATTTAAAAATTACTATGTCTTTAGAAAGTTACTATTCCAAGATACTTTTGCCCGATATGGAATTCTACTCGAGATTCTTTGCAAGATTAATTTTAGAAACATAACGAATGTTATAAGCAAAGCACAGTATAATTCAGTAACTATTAATTTTATTACATTTGAAAGTTAGGCTAGCGACATCTATAATGTCTAATAGCAAATTATGTTTACTTATTAAAAATGTTGGGCATTTAGAGACATCTAGCGTGGAATAGCAATTTCCAAGGTCACATGGAAGAAATCATAGACAACACAATAAATCATTGTACTCTTTTTAACTATAACCCAGCTGATTTTGATAGCAAGATTCTAATAAGAATCTTAATGCTTAGTTGAACTTTTTCAATGATTTGGATAATATCCATTTTCAGATCACGTTCGGAATGTAAAATAAAGAATAAGATATTTTTATTTTATTATACTACTGAAGATAACGCAGTTTTAAATTTCATTTAATTATAATGAATTGAGTAATACCTTTTAATAATAAAACGAGTTGTACATTTTCTGTGTGAATTAATTGATAAAAGCATGATTTCAGAACGCACTTTTGCAGCGACACGAAAAGAGAACAAAAATAAACACGTCAGATGTCAAAATTTGTTGTGTCATGTCGATGTAATATTTTTGTATTAAACCAAACACTGTGAACTCGTCTTAAATAGAATAATTATCAGCCATAGTTTATAACTGAGCTAGAAAACTTACTACCTGCGTTTCCACCATGCATTGGTACGGAGGCAGCATCGCGGAAGCGGTGACATTATCAAAACAGAAAAATGCAATTTTCGTCGTCTTCGTTGAAGGTAAATTGTTTTATTTGTTCGTAAAAATAATTTTCAGGACTCTTTTGTTATATTAAACTTGTAAATTATTCTATTTTAAACCTATTTTCTGTATATAATTAGGTCAAAATGTATGTCATGTCAAGTCAGTAAGGTTATTAGCAAATACTGACGTCACTCAGCGGCAGTGTCGCAACATTTAATTAAAAAATTAATAATAAGTACGTACATACATACTTATATTATCCTTTAAATAACATCTCAAATTAATAACATGTACATTGGGCACCAAAACTTGAAACAAAGTAAGAAATATTTGGAGAAAATGTTCACTCAGAAAAGTGGATCTAAAATGGCCCCATTGTATTCACACTACACTGATTCAGTTATATGTGAGCAAGTCTTGAACAAAAACATACCATAAAAGAAGTTAAACAAGTTTTATTTTAATTTTTCTTTGTTTATTTACACAGAAATAAGGTTTTATATCTGGTACTTAGTTTTAGTTGGATGCTTGTCAATAGTAATCTAATTTAGAACTCTATTGTAAATTTTTTTATTGAATTTGTTACAGATTACAATATCTCAAGTTATATATGTTTATCATTATTTTATTTTTATCCTGTATCCTGTATATCTGTATCCATCATTAAATTTTAATTCTTTGTTGTCTCGAACATGGCGCTCACATATGCGCACTCACAATCTTTAAGGGTGCTTCTATATAAACTCTTTGGATATATAAGTTAAGGATTCATTCATTATGAGAATTTGAGTAACTACTGACTATATTTGAGTTTTGTCCAGTGGAGCCGAATCAACACGCTGCCAGGCATTCTTATCCTCAATATAATCTGAAAGTTTGTAGTGTGTCTGTCTACACAATTCGCGTTTGATACAAGTTTTAAATTTTGGTTCATTAAGATTCAATACACTAAAAAAAACAATAATCCCGTTAAAATAAAGTAATATTGACTTTTTTTGAATTGAGTAGTTTTCTTACTTAAAAATAAACAATATTGATGTTTGAATACAAAAACATTATGAAGAATAAGCATTCATTTTTTTATGTTACCCTCATTAGTTGTCATAACACTCAAATTTCATACAAAATTATTGTTTTTGAACTACATAACTACTAAATTTGTCAACTACCTACAGTACGGACGAGTTTTTGGGTGCACAAAATTTCAATAGTAAAATTAATTATGACCATAATACCTAACAGTAGATTCTTTAACATATTTATTCCTTTTTAAAAAACATTGCCTCACACTAGGATTTTCCTTGATGTCGTAGGTGCGTTACAAACTTGCAATTTCACATGTATACACATCACACCCACACACAAAACAACAATTTGTGTATCAAACAAAGAGTTGTTTCGTGCGGGAACCCACAACAAGCTGTGGCGCATCCAGTGGCCCAGCCGCCGCGCCAACAGTCCAGACAATTACACAGAACTGAAAAACTAAAAAATTAAAAACAGAGAAATTCACATTGTTTTCCCTCTCAACGAAATCTTCAATCCCAAAATATAAACAAACAAGTTTACAATGATGTGTAAATAACATTTAAAGAAATCGGATTAACTGATAAATTTATTTTTTGTAAGTGTCCATGACTCTTACTGCCAAATCTCCTGTGTTGCATTGGCTAGGTGCCAGTTGACTGACTGTTTGGCAGTCCACTGTGTGATATGCAAACTGACTCATTCACAGCTGTTTGTTTTGTATATTCACGGCGTTTATTAAAGGATGGGTAATGGTAGAGTTATGCGAACTTATTACAAAACAAGGTTTTACTTTAGTCTAGGACTAAACCATTGAGTCAGTTTTCGTAATTCGAATTGAAGGTAGATGACATAAGATTCAAAATTCAAAACCCGACTCAATGTTTTAAACCTGGACTAAAGATAAACCTCGTTTTGTAATAAGGGGGATGGAGTTTCTTGAAGAATTCAAATCTACAATTTTGAATGAGAACCTAGCTTCACTGACGAACAGACTGACTACTATTCTATTTTGACGTTTCAAAAGTACCTATTTATTGTTTAGGTGGAATTGTGATTTTGACTTTGACTTCGACTGCAGTTGTTATTGATTACATTTTTTTCGCCTTTCGCTGAAAATCAGTGCTGAGGCTTTGTCCCGTATTGGGTCTCAGCATTATGCTGAGCAAGGACCGTTTGACGTAGGTGTGACACATATGTATTTCCCGTTATATACTTTCTTTTACTTTAGTGTTTCCTATTTTCGACATTTATTTTTAGTTTTGACTATAAAATTTTGTTTGTCTATGTTTTATTAACGTGCATAAATGTGTTTTTATAATAACTAATCTCTCTAACTAAGCTCATGAGGAAGAACCCCTCTGTGGTTCGAAACTAGTAGAGCTTTTCTCAACATTTGCACGTGAGTAACCCGCGAATTTTAGTTAATTGTGCATAAATGTATTTTCTTTCTTTATTTATTTCTTTTTTTGGAAGGGGCATTTCTTAATTTAAAATTTAAACTTTATATTTCGATTACCTGATGGTAAGCAATCAGCGACTCCCATAGATACTCGTACTACCAAAGGAGTTACTACAAGTGCGTTGCCGGCCTCGTAGGTTATTAGGGATTTAAGGATATAGGATTTGAGTATGGAGGAGTGCGGAAGGGGGGAAGAATTGGGCCTCCGATAACATCACTCACACGATATTACTTTTCACTCCTTTTATGTTAAAACCATGATATTAATCTCACTCCAACTCACTCTCCTTTTTCTCCAGGTGACAATGATCTATCAGTGGAGATGGCAGCGACCATTGATGACACGGATGTCCTGAATCGCCTCTCCGACCAGTCCAATTTTCTCGCCATCAAGCTGAAGAGCGGTTCTCCGAATTATAACTACTTTGCTCAGATCTGTATCCTTTAAAAATATACAAAAGTACCTACTATAGAATTAAAAAATGCCTTCAAGATAAGAGCGGCTTTGAGACATTATTTTTCCAAATAGACCATAAAACAGCAGTTTACACGTCAATATTATATGTAAAAAACTAGATGAAGCTGGCATTTCCTATCTGACTACTCTGAGTAGAAATACCGAAGCAAACTCGAAAGGTCCATCTCTTGTAATAAAGCGCAGACAAAACCTTACAACCGTAAAGTTTATATCCTTGTTATGAACTTGTGCGGTTCCATACACCTTATTAGATGCCATTCATCCAAGATTGCGTGGTTGAGAGAGTTGGAGCAGGAGAAGGAATGGGGTGGTTGTTTAGTCAATAAGGGTGTTTTTGAGGTTGGAAAATCATCGTGACACGGAGTGACAGACCCACTGACCAAAAACCACCCTGTTCATTCTCCAAGCCTGGGTCGCTTTATTTATGGAGCTTGTTCAACAACATGTTTTCACAATTACATCTCTACAATAATGTTTATTATTAAATAATGTATTAGTAAACTCAAAACAAATACTATTCAAAAAAACTAACGATTGAAACACTCGTTCTTCTCCATTCGAATCTACAGTTTGGGACGAACACCTACTTTTACTGAAAATCAGACAGACAGACTACCATTCTATTTTCACGTTTCAAAAGTACCTGCTAAGTAAAATGTCAAATCATTTATTTCAAAAAATAAACATCGAAAAGTTTGCGTGGCAGTCAGTCAGTCGGCTTGATCGTTAGTCAAGCTATTTGCTGTTTTCGAAAGTGTAGATTCTAATGGAGAAGAATTCCGGAGATGAGCGCGTTCTAACAAACAAACTCTACAACTTTATATATTATTTAGTATTAATTGATATTCCTTAACCAAGAATTACAAGATCAATTCGTCCCGGTACCGTCATTGTTCTTCATCGGTAGGAATGGCATGCCTCTAGAAGTTGTATGTGCAGGGGTGCAACCTAGCAATTTGGCGGTACGCATAGACAGGATCCTTGAACAGCATTGTGAGTATTATTTATTATTTTTTTATATGTTTAGAAGCGGTCGCCCGTGGCCCCGCCTGCGCGGTATAAGATATTTTTTTTTTATTTACATTTTTTTATATCTTTTCTGGACTGACGAATAATTCAAGACCAAAATTAGCTAATTCCGTAAAGATATTGTTGAGTTATAACATTACAACGAAGAGTTAGATGGGTGGCATCGAATGTGTTACTTGTTCGGTGTTACGGGTGTACATGTGTGTTCGAATAAATAAATAAATAAATAAAAATACATAAGCGATGATGATTGTTTACCCTTGTAATCAACCAGGGAAATTCAATAAGGGTTTTTCGAATTGTTTGAAAAAAATAACGAAAACAAGATTTCTTTAATAAGGACTGTTAATAATAAATTGTAAATGTAAAATTTTGACTGTAATTTATGACATTCTATTTTTTTATATAGTAGGTCGGCAAACGAGCAGACGGATTACCCGATAGTAAGCAATCAGCGTCGCTCATGGACGCTCGCAATAACGGAAGAGTTACGAGCGCGTTGCCGACCATTTAGCGATTAGGATTTTGGGGATTTAGGAATTGGGGGAGAGTAAGGATTGGATCTCCGATTACCTCATTCACTCGCCGAAACACAACGCTGTGTTTGCTTCACGCCGGTTTTCTGTGAGGCCGTGGTATCACTCCGGACGAGTCGACCCATTCGAGCCGAAGCATGGCTCTCCCACACTTCATTAATTACAACAAACATTATACTTATTAATCAATTAATTTATGATGAACGTTAAAAAAGAAAAATTTCATGCCTGACTTTGTGAAATGTGATGATCTTAAAAATATTGTATTATCTGTATTGTACCACTTTTTCTAGCTATTCAAAATTTATTTGTTTTAAATATCTAGTATTCTTGTGCGAGATATGTTTGTATGCCTTTGTTAGTTGAGTACTTTTGTAAGTGCTACTTCGGAACACGGACTCAGGTATGATTTCCGGATCGCTGAAAACGATCTTTATAGAGATTTCAAATCTGATCTGGAACAGTGCTCTATCATAACTTACCTATAAGTGGTTCTCACTTTTTATAAGGACCTTTGACTACCCCTTCAGATTAACTTATTCGTTCATGATACTGATCTTTTTATTTTCCTGTCCAGTCAAAGACAAACAACCCTCCCCCACTGGGGCGCAACCAGCCGCCCAAGAACCAGTCCAGCCATCCACATCATCCACCAACATCCACGGCTCCACTGACGTGAAGGATCAGACTGTCAACTTCGTTCAGGCTGAGACTGCAGCTTTGGTTTCACAAACTGCTGAGGCTCCTAAACAAGTAAACGATGACCTAGGTAAGTTTACACTGTAGCATCCACTGACATCCACTATCATCCGACAACATCCACTTCATACATAAATGTGTAAATATCCATTAAAATTCAAAAATAATATCCACTTTATCCACTACATTCACAAATACCCACATCATATGCCAACATCCACTTGCATTCAGAAACATACACTAGACACCACCATCCACTAATATCTACCAATATTTAAAAACATCCATCAACATTCAACAATATCCACTTCATCCCCTACATTCACATAATTCACAAACATCCACATCATCCACCAACATCCATTCATGTTATTGTTAGTAAAAGATGTGAATGTTCGATGCTGGTATGGATGTTGGCGAATGATGCGGATGTAGTAGACGAATTGGATGTTATTAGATGTTGTGTATGAATGTCGGAAGCCGGTCTGAAGATTTGGATAATCTTTCACCAACATCCACCATCAGCTACAACTACAATATACCAAAAAATTTTAGCTTCCGGATCGCCCCCACCGAAAATCCCGAAGACTGCCCAGGAGACGAAGCCACTCACCCCAGATGATATGGAGTGTGACGGAGACGTTTGTGTGAGACGAGCGCCCAAGGCTGATGAGCCTGGACCTAGTCAGGCACCTACTCCAAGTCTATCCAGCACCCCGGCTTCGGCACAGGTAAGTAAAAAGCACGAATGGGTCGGCTCGACCGGAATGGAGGCCCAATCCTTCCCCCATCCTTAATCCCTCTTCCTCCATTTAAGTGTGGGAACGCCATGCTTTGTCACAAATGGCTCGGCTTGACCGGAGTGATACCACGGCCTCACAGAAAACCGGCGTGAAACAACCACATCGTTGTGTTTCGCCGTGTGAGTGAGGTTACCGGAGGCCCAATCCTTCACCTGCCCAAATCCCTCCCCAATCCCTAAATCTCCCAAAAGGTCGGTAACGCACTCGTAACTCCTCATTTGTTGAAAGTGTCCATGGGCGGCGCTGATTGCTTACCATCAGGTAAATGCGTCTGTTCGTTTGCTTACCTTCTACATAAAAAAAACCTTAAATCCCTTATCCTTCAATCTCTAATAACCCGCAAGACATCGGCAAAGCGTTGTAGTAACTTCTGTGGTATTTCGAGCGTCCAAGGCTGGTGAGCCAGGACCGTGTCAGGCACCTACTCCAAGTCTACCCAGCATCCCAGCATCGGCACAGGTCAGTAAAAGACCATTCAAGTGTGAAAGACCCAGGATTTTGCACCAATGGTCTGAAAATACCACGGCCTCACAGAAAACCGGCCTGAAACAACATTTACGCTGTGTTTCTCTCCCCCCCCCCATCCCTAATCCCTAAATCCAAGAGATCCAAGAGATAAGAGAATCCGAGAGCGATCAGTCCTTCGTTGTTGCGGGTATCCATGGGCGGCGCTGATTGCTTACGATCAGGTAATCCCCCCATCTCCAATCCGTAAATCCTTAAAACTGTAATATTCTACAGAAGACCCGCAATGCACTTCTAAATCTTTAGATGTTGCTAATGTCCATGGTTGGCGATGATTGCTTACCTTTAGGGAATCACCGCTCCCCCAACCAAATCGCTAAAGCCTCCAATCTCTAATAACTTACAGAAGACCAGCAACGCACTTGTAACTGCTTAAGTATTGCTTGTGACCATAGGCGGCGCTGATTGCTTATCATCAGGGAATCCCCTCTCCCCCCAAATCGCTAAACCGTCTAATCTCTAATATCCTACAGAAGGCCACCAACGCACTTGTACTTAGGTGTTTGCTAATGTCCTTGGTCGGCGCTAATTGCTTACTATAAACGAATAACACCCTCCCCCAAATCGCTAATGCCCCCAATCTCTAATAACTTACAGATGACCAGCAACGCAACGTTTTTGTGAAAACACTTTATCATCTTCTTTATGTATAAAAAATTCGTGTCGCGTGTTTGTCCGCGATGGACTCCTAAACTACTAAACCGATTTTTAATTTGATTTGCAATCCGTGTGCATTTTGATCCAACTTGAAAGATAGAATAGCTTACATCTCAATTTATAGTCACAATATTATTTACCTTAGCCACAGCAACGCGTGGCTAGGTCTGCTAGTTTATACTAATATTATAAAGAGGTAAAATTTGTAAGTTTGTATGTAGGGGGTAATCTTTGGAACCACTAATCGGATTTCCAAAATTCTTTCACTGATGGATAGCTACAATGTTCCCGAGTGCTATAGGCTACAAAACATCAGGCTACGATTAAATGGTGCCGAACAGCGGGTGTAACCGCGCGAGAGTAGCTATATATTATTAATGTTTATAATTTTTTTCTATTTCCAGGCCCCAGAAGTGGCGACCACAGAAAGCTTGGGCAGTATTGAGGAGAAAATGGAACGAGCCAAAGAGCTCATTGAGGCTCGGAGGAGAGAAAAGGCTGATAAGGAAAAGGAGGTAATCAGAATTGTCTTGGACAGCCAATTGGGTAGTTTCCTAGGTCAAAAATAAATTAATTCGACGTTTCAATACAATAAAATATTGAAAAATAACTTTACTATACTTTTATTCATCGATCGATCGATACACTAAGTTTTAGATATTGTTTAGCTAATTATTAAGAAATAAGTAAGCTATTTGACACTAAAATAGTATGACGTCATAACTCAGTTTTTCATAGAAAAGTATCGTTTTTGACATTCGGATAAAAGTATTGACTTTGACTTGTTAGAAACTACCTATTTGGTATAGGTGTGGGAGAGCCTTGCTTCGGCACGAATGGGTCGCCTCGATCGGAGTGATACCACGGTTTCTCAGAAAACCGTCGCGAAACAACCACAGCGTTGTGTTTCGCCTTGTGAATGAGGTTACCGGAGCCCTAATCCTTTTTCCAATCCCTAATCCCCAAAAGGTCGGCAATACCGCACTCGTAACTCTTCCGTTGTTGCGGATGTCCACGGGCGGCGCTGATTGCTTACCATCAGGTAACCTGTAAGCTCGTTTGCCGACCTATCACATAAAAAAAACATATACGGTCGAATTGAGAACTTCCCTCCTTTTTGGAAATCTGTTAAAAACACAATAAATTCATTAAATTTATATTTGACCTGCCAAATAACTGTCACATTATTCAATTAGGTACCTAGTATAAATTTAGTCCAAAGTTTAATATTTTGTCTCTTTCTTTTCAATAGTTGGAGAAAGAGAAGGAAATGGAGCGGCGCGCTCAAGGAAAGGGCGTAGCGGAATTGAAACGGTGGCAGGCGGACCAGGAACTCAAACAGATACAGGTAACTATCATCATCATCATCATCATCATCAAAAAGTCAAATCATTTAATTCAAATAGATCACAACAGACACTTTTCAACACTGAACAAAAAAATAAATCAAAAGGTTCCACTTTGTCTGTCAGTCTGTCGGTCTGTCCTAGTGAAGCTATTTTTTTTACTAAGTTAATAGGTTGGCACTTGTAGGTAATTCTTTCGTTGTTGCAAGTGTCCATGGGCGGCGCTTGATTGCTTACCATCAGGTAATCCGTTGGTATCTTACACATAGAAAAACATCTAATATTAAAGAGATAAAAATTTTAAGTTTGTATGTAGGGGGTAATCTTGAGAACCGCTGGTCGGATTGCCAAAATTCTTTCACTGATAGGTAGCTACAATGTTTCCGAGTGCTATAGGCTATAAAACATCACGCTAGGATTCAATGGAGCCGAGTAGCGGGTGAAATCGCGCGAGAGTAGCTATAAAACATCACGCTACGAACAACTCAGGGTCCGAGTAGGAGGTAGCGTAAAATATTGTTTTTTTTTCGTAGGAGGAGCGTCGTCGTGAGAAGATGGAGAACAACCTGGCCCGGCAGCGCATACTGGAGCAGATAGCGCAGGACAGGCGCGAGAGGCGCGCGAGGGACGCCCCTCCTCCCGCCCCCACACCAGCCACAGTACCGCCCCAAACCACTCCTAGTTAGTATAATCCATTAAGTAAAATACATAGCTACCAACTTTCTCATCATCAGCCCATAAGTGTCCACTGCTGAGCAAAGGCCTCTTCTCATACGGAGAAGGTTTGAGCATTAATCACCACGCTTGCTCAAGGCGGAAATCATAAATAAAAAATGAAGAAGTTTTAAATCCAGTATTCTTTAATATTTTTTCCTTCACCGTATGTCGGTGGAGTACTATTTGTACTCCTAGAAACTCCTGCCTAGAAAGGGAAGAAATGTGGCTCAAAAAATTATTATTCTATAATATCTATATTAATAATATTATGAAGCTGAATAGTTTGTTTGTTTTAACGCGTTAATCTATTTAAGTGTGGGAGAGCCATGCTTCGGCACGAATGGGTCGGCTCGACCGGAGTGATACCACGGCCTCACAGAAAACCGGCGTGAAACAACCACAGCGTTGTGTTTCGCCGTGTGAGTGAGGTTACCGGAGGCCCAATCCTTCCCCTCCCCCAATCCCTCCTAAATCCCTAAATCTCCAAATCCCTAATTCCTAAAAGGTCGGCAACGCACTCGTAACTCCTCAGTTGCGAGTGTTCATGGGCGGCGCTGATTGCTTACCATCAGGTAATCCGCCTGCTCGTTTGCCGACCTATTAAATAATAAAAAAAAACTACTGGTTGAAATTGAACAATTATTTTGTGTTGGATAGTCCATTCACCAAGGAAATCTATAAAAATCATGCTACGATCTATAAGAGCCCGCGTAGAAGCTAGTCCTAAGCTTTAGCTTTGGCATTTATGCTAAGTCTAAATTCATCTCAAGTGTACGGCGCGTAGCGTTCCGCGCGCGCCCCAAAGAGCCAATAGACCACCACAGACGGGGCCCTATAGGGCTGATGTTCAGCCGGGGTTGCGGGGTAAGCGCAATGAGGCAACGCGACCTCGGCCCAGAGCAGGAGAAGGAACAGGGGGGTTTTTAGTCAGTAAGAGTCTGACACTCGAGAGAAGCCATTAGATGATGTTTCCAGGTCAAAAACACTAGGGACTTATTGATCCACGTGATAAAAGCTTGTTTTAATTATTTTACCCTCTCCTCCAGCATCAGGCGACGCAGGTAGAGGGGCGCGCATCCAGTTCAAGTTGCCGGACGGGACCTCCCACACGGCGCACTTCGACGCAGACGGCACCCTCGGGGACGTACAGAGATATGTCGCGGATAATCTACAGGTACTGTTTATTTTATTTTTTATGGCATAGGACGGCAGATGGATTACCTGATGGTAAGCAATGCGGCTATACCGAACCTTTCTAAGTGTAGTAGAGCCATGCTGCGTCACGAATGGATCGGCTCGACCGGAGTGATACCACGGTCTGGCAGAGAACCGGTGTGAAACAACCACAGCGTTGTGTTTCACCGTTAGAGTGAGGTTACCGGAGGCCCAATCCTTCCTCTCCCCCTGATCCCTAAATCTCCAAAACCTTAATCCCTAAAACGTCGGCAGCGCACTCGTAACTGCTCCGTTGCTGGTGTCCATGGGCGACGCTGATTGCTTACCATCAGGTAATCCGTCTGCTCGTTTGCAACGCTGTGATTGTTTCACGCCGGTATTCTGTGAGGCCGTGGTATCACTCCCGTCGAGCCGACCATCCATTTGTGCCGAAGCTTGGCTCTCTCACACTTATATGACATCCTTTCAATATAAGTAATTAACAATTTATCATGACTACATTTACATAGAAATGACTCCTATCGTCTATATTTTGATTTCCCAGCTATCAACGTCGTCATTCGCGCTATGGACGGCGTTCCCCCGTCGCGAGCTGACGGATGCGGAGGCTAGTCTCAGAGGGCTACAACTGGCGCCCTCTGCCGCCCTCCTAGTTCTACCCAGGAGAACTACCCCTACTGTAGCCAGGCCCTCAGCTGTCGCTAGTATTATTAGTAAGTTTTTTTTTTATTTTAAATGCTGATTTTTCAATGGTTAGATAAAAGTTAGCTGGGAAATAATTATGATGCTGTCGCGTCAGAATGTTTGTATAAGACAGTGACAGCAACAATTTTTTTCTCAGATAACATTTATCTGACTATTGAAAAATCAGTCCTTAGGTTATTTTGTAAGGTTACAGGTAATGCTAGCACTGCCGTACAACGGGTTGCGGGTTCGATTCGCGCACGGAACAAGTATTGTGTGATACAAAAATTGTTGTTACGGATCTTGGTGTGATATGTTTATGTGATAAAATACAGTCAAAAAAAGGTTAATATTCTATGTAGATTTTTAGAACATAATATGGCTTTTCATAGCCTAAAATTTCGAAAAAATTTCTTTTGCATTTGACTGCCGATAAAAACTGTTAAAGTGTTTAAGCTAACCCTCCACTAGCGTCGGACACCATTGTCCGTCACGGCGTTCTAAGTGTTAAAACTCAAAATTATTAATCTTATAACGTAAGTTCGGGCAACTTTGATCCAAATTTTCGAACTAATGAAAAACTAATATATTTTTGGTTCTCAGTTATTATTGGTTAAAGGGTTTTGATCAAAGTTACCCCGCAGGGTCAAAGTAATGCCGGGGTGGCGGGGCAAGCGCAATGAGGCACCGCGACCTCGGCCCAGAGCAGGAGAAGGAACAAGGGGGTTTTTAGTCAGTAAGAGTCTGACATTCCCTCCCGCCTGGCCCTGGACGGGAGAAGTCATTTGATGATTTTCCCCTCACAAAAAAAAGGGTCAAAGTAATTCGAACTTACCCGGTATACGGATGTATTATGTGATATACATGCACGCATGTAGTAATTTTTTTAACGTTTAAAATTACTAATAAAGTCTATATTTCACTTCACAGCATTCTTCACACAACTCTTCACCACTATGATCCTAGAACCATCACAGACTCTGCTTGTATGGCTGCGCACGCGTCTATTCCCCCCTCCCGCCACCTCACCCAGGACCCCTCGAGCTCCCTCCCCCGCCCCTCCAGCGCCCCCTGGCGGCGTCCGTCGAAGGGGAAACATACACCGCCTGCCCAGCGATCGAGCCCCGGACGATGATAATAACACGTGGAATGGTAATTCTACACAGCAAATGTAATTCTTCACAGTCCGCACTAGGTCTTTTTGCAATTTTCGAGCAACCCCCGAAAGATTTCGCGGTAACTCGAAAAGTTTCGGTACGAACCGGAGTCGGTGTTTTTCGAGAATGATGAATTTAAACATTCCTATGGCCTTAAAGTTGAGCTGTTCGGTTCCCTAGTGCGAACGACGAAATCTAGTTAATATCTAGATTTTTCTTACAATATTTCTCATTATAATTGACTTCGTATATGTTAAAAATGGATGTAAAGTATATATAAACTAATATTTCCTCCCGGTTTTACATATTTTTCGGCTCCTCTAAGTAAAAAACTCCCATTTTCTTTCGGTAATGGCATCACGCGTAAGAAGGGACAGGCCGCTAATATTTATTTAAAAAAGTCACTCAGTGTATTTAAAATTAATTTACTTATTTAAGAGCTGATTTTTCAATGGTTAGATAAAAGTTACCTGTGGAATAATTATGATGCTGTCGCGGCAGAATGTTTGTATAAGACAGTGACAGCGACAATTTTATTACTCAGATAACATTTATCTGACTATTGAAAAATCAGCCCTAAAAACGCAAATTTTACTTAAATTATGACCTTTATGTATAGTAATTTCGCGACTATTTTCCCATTGGTTAGTTAGGATTGTTAGTTTTGGCACGTGATTGGTTGATTGGTCGACTGGATCGACCAATCGTAAGAGCTTATGTTTGAAGGATTTTTGCGCTGGTAGCGGCGCTAACTATGCATAGTTTTAAATCTTATACATACGGTCATTTTTAGTACTTGGTTTTCTTACTAGAGATAAAGTGTTACATTGTATCTTGTAAAGCTTACGTTGTTTCGCCGTCTGAGTGATGTTACCTGGAGGCCCAATTGATCACCCCCACCCCTATACTGAATCCTTAAATCTCAAAATCCCTTATCCCTCAAAGGTCGGCAACGCACTCGTAACTCCGACTCCGACCATCAGCTAATCCGTCTGCTCGTTTGCCGACCTATGACATAAAAAAAACCCACAACCTTTCTCAATCCCAAATCTTCAAGTTCCTGGTAACTCACAAAAGGCTGGCAAAGCTCTTGTAAGTCCATAAGTGTTGACTATGGATGGCGCTGTTTGCTTACCATCAGGTCTTTAAAAGGGCTTATAATGTATCAAAATTCTGTCTCTAATAAGCAAATCTAGATATAAATATGAAACGAACTATTTATGTAATTTAACTTAATAATATCAACTCAACGCAGTAAACTTTTTGACACCGAACAAGACTTAAAACTATACTAGCGCCATCTATTGGCCAGGAAAGCAAAAGATATTAATTCAGCCTACCCGAAACCAATTAATATTTAGATAGGCTTGAATTATTGACTGTTTAGTTTTATTTATTGAATTGGTCCGATTTCAAATTGCTATCCCTTTCTTGCACTTGATATTTACATAGTGCAACAAGGATAGCGATATCTGAGTATCATCTGAGTCTTTAAAAATATCAAATCTTTCTTTTAAACTCATTTTCACGTGTCTGACTATCGTCATGAGCTAATGTTCACATGTAAACAGCAGCTCATGTAGTGCAGAGATTGTCCAGTCAACAAGGATGTAGCGTAGACTGTCCAGGCGACACACGTACTTAGGTATCGTCATGAGCTAATGTTCACATGTAAACAGCAGCTCATGTAGTGCAGAGATTGTCCAGTCAACAAGGATGTAGCGTAGACTGTCCAGGCGACACACGTACTTAGGTATCGTCATGAGCTAATGTTCACATGTAAACAGCAGCTCATGTAGTGCAGAGATTGTCCAGTCAACAAGGATGTAGCGTAGACTGTCCAGGCGACACACGTACTTAGGTATCGTCATGAACTAATGTTCACATGTAAACAGCAGCTCATGTAGTGCAGAGATTTCGTTAAAAGCCGTCAACTGAGTTTTTACATACGAATTCATAAATCCCGCTCTTTATAACCATCATGTCATTATCGGAATGTATCAAGTATTTTGTATTTTATAAATAATTGTGACCAATGTACTAAATATAAAAATTTACAACTTAAAAGCAAAACTGTCGAGACGACATAAACTTAAATTCGACATAAATAAGGCTCTTTTTTGACTAGCAAACTTACAATAGGAAATTTTTAATGCAATTTAAACCTTAAATTATAAGCAGTGGAGTTTAAATTGTTACTAGCACACATATCTCGTCTATTCAGTTTTGTTAGTTGAAAAAAAAAGAAAAATGTGCTATTAATATGACGCATTTTATTTTCAGCGATGAAAAATGGAACCATTATATTATTATTATTTATTATATTAGTTTCTTTGAATACTGAAAACAAATAAAATTAAAAAGTTTACCCATTCATTGGCATATAGAAAGAAATTGTCTTCTAAAATAAATAATATCTTCTGATTTATTTCGTTGCGGGATCCAAGACAGTCATTCATATTCCTAGGACGCGCCGGACTTCAGTGTTCCGGTGTTTTCATGGTTGTATCTACTGTAGATCCTGGTGCACAGTAATTGCAGCGGTTTCGGAAAGATGTAGCGAGATTGTTTCATTAAAAAAATTAGGAAAGCTTGCTTTTACACTCCCTTAAGAGTGGGAGAGCCATGCTTCGGCACGAATTCGTCTGCCCGACCGTATTGATACCACGGCCTTACAGAAAACCGGCGCGAAACAACCACAGCGTTGTGTTTTGGCCGTGTGAGTGAGGTTACCAGAGGCCCAATTCTTCCCCACCCCCAATCCCTCCTCAATCCCTAATCCCTAAAAGGTCGGCAACGCACTCGTAACTCCTCCGCGCCGTTGCGGGTGTCCATGGGCGGCGCTGATTACATACCATCAGGTAATCCGTCTGCTCGTTTGCCGACTTAGACCATAAAAAAAACATACGAATTTGTTCACGTAAATTAGACCTAACCTAACGTTCGTCCTATAAGGCGGGTTTGCCCTAGAAACTGATTTATAGAAAATTATCTTTACAATACCTTAATCTAGTCGACCATTTACGACGAAAGCGCCCTCTATGCATGACAAAAATGTCATTAATATTGTGCTCTAGCTTCTTGAGCTTAGGGACCATTTTTGATTGAATTTTAAGAGTAATTTTGCATTTTTCTGCTAGATAACACTGAATGGGTAAACTTGAACTCGTTTTCTAGGTTAGTTATGAACTATTATTCGTTGTAAATTATCATTGAAATAAATATTTGTTAATTACTTATGTGAAGTTGTTGTGTTTTATTTTTTAAGACTTTTGTTTATGATTAAAATATTCAATGCTTTTTTTGAGGGACAAATAGAATTCATCTAATGATTTCTCCCGCCCTGATCACTGATTTTTTTATGTTACAACCCTATTTTAAGCACAAGAGAGGGTTTCAAACTCTTACTGACTAAAAACCACCCCGTCCCTTCTTCTGCTCCAGGCCGAGGAGGCAACTGAAGTCTTACAGACCTACATTCGCTTTCTATGTATTGTCTGTAATCGACCAGACGGATTACCTGATGGTAAGTAATGCACACCGATCTTGGAGAACACAAGAGCGATTTACGAGTACGTTTCCGGCCTTTTGGAGATTGGTTTGAAGATGACGGATGGGGGATTATTGGGACACCAGTGGCAGGGCCATTAGTCGCGGTGTGCTGGTGTTAGGGCGTCCGCTTCTCAGTTCGAAACCTGGCAAATACCAATGTGACTTGTTCCGAGTTATATGTAGGTACTTTCTAAGTTCATTAATAATTAGACACCACAGCACAGACATACGGCGAAGGAAAATATCGTGAAGAAACTTGGGCTTATAATTTCTTATAATAAGTTCTAAATCGCAAATCTGGCATAAGCAAGCGTGGTGGTTAATGTTCAATTCTTCTTCGTATGAGAAGAAGCATATAATTGGGTAGTTTCCTAGGTCAAAAATAAATTAAATCGACGTTTCAATACAATAAAATATTGAAAAGTAACTATACTTTTATTCATCGATCGATCTATACACTGAATTTTAGATACTTTTTAGCTAATTTTTAAGAAATAAGTATCTATGCTATTTGACGCCTAAAAACTATGACGTCATAACTCAGTTTTTCATAGAAAAGTATAGTTTTTGACATTTGGATAAAAGTTTTGAATTTGACTTAGTTGGAAACTACCGTATTCCACCACACCATTCATATCGGCACTTAATCATACAAATGGCAATTAACACAAATTCAGGTTAAAAAAAAAACTAGACACACAATTGTACTTACAGTGAAATCAAAGAAATCTCGCCTTTTATAATGAACAAGATTGTTGCGTGACCGCGTGACCATTATTCATTGTAATGGCAACGTTACATTTGAAAGTTTGTTGGCAATTTACTGAAAATATGACTGTGTGCTGTTACTAATGTCTACAACTAAGTCTGGGAGATGCTTCGGCACGAATGGGCTGGCTCAACCGGAGTGGTACTACGGCCCCACAGAAATCTGGCTTGAAACAACCAGTGTTGTGTTTCGTCGAGTATATGAGATTACAGGAGACCCAATTCTTTCTCTCTTCTAAAACCTACATCTTTAAAACCATAACCCCCAAAAGATCGACAACGCACTCGACATGGCTGGTGTCCATGGGCGGCGGCTATTGCTCACATTACATCACATCACCATCCTATAAGGGCACTACTGAGCAAAGGCCTCTTCTCTCACAGAGAAGGTTTGAGCATTAGGCAAGGTGGAATGGCTAAAATAGTCTAGAACTATCCATATATTTATTAAAATTACTCTAAAATTACATTTTTAAATATTACTATAAAATAAAATAAAATAATATTTAAAAATACAAAAGTAGGAGCCAGCCGGCAGCGGGAGCAAGGTCCAAGCTACCGGCAGTTAGGGCTCCAGAGACAGGAACCTCCTCACAATACGTGCCGTTTCAAGGAGGACTGCCTTCTGTATGAGGCCCTTGATCCATCCGCCTAACGTCAGCCTCTTAAGGTGGTTGTCGAGGCTTTTGGGGACTAACCCATTTGCCGACACAACTATCGGCACAACGATAGCCGAGTCCACACTCCACATGTCAACAACCTCGTGAGCTAAGTCAAGATATTTCAATTGTTTATCTTTCTCAGCTTTCACGAGGTTCTCGTCATGAGGGATGGCAACATCGATTATCGGCGTGCGACGCGCTAGTCGGTCTACCACCACTATGTCAGGCTTATTGGCTACAATAGTCCTGTCTGTGATGATAGAAATAGTCTAGAACTTATTATTACAAATTAAAAGTTATACAAATTAAAAGTTCCCGTTTCCACACTATATTTTCCTTCACCGTGCATAATTGGTGTCTAAATAATCATAGAAAGTACATATGACTCGCAAAAAGTCACATTGGTATTTGCCAGGTTAAGAACCCGCCCCCTTATACATGAGAAGCAGAGAACCTTAATCTCGGGGCCACCACGACATTGATTTTTGACCATGTAAACCGCCAGTCCGTTTTTTACACAGAAAAAACAGAATATATCTCCATCATCTCAATTCTTGGTTATTGCCCCTAAGAGATGAGAGCAATACTCTTAGTCAGTCAACCACAACACATGCAATATGCCAATGACTTGTTGTTTATAGTCTGTGTTAATTATTACTTGCGATTTCAAACGTCAGTGAGATGATAATCTGTGGTAATTAAGGCGACGTTGTTGGACTGGTGCCTGCAAGTTCGTCTGTCGAGTAAGGAGTCTTAGATCGTATTTGGGGGTGGACAAAGTTGTATGTAGCATTTTCGGTTTCAGGAAAATTTGACAGCAATGACACGTAGGGGAGAGTCGGGTAGTCACGGACACATAAACAAAACTCAAATTATTTTTTAAATGAACATTATTAGACATTTGTTAAGAATCAAACTATTAAATAAAACATATATAAAGTATTTTAGTACAAGTAACGATCAGATAATTCCTTAATCTTAACTGTAATCAAGTCTAATATTGTTAAAAATACAATACTGTTTGTATTGTATTTTTAACAATATTTTTTTTTGGCGGGTAGCCCCGGACGTCATTTATTGGTGATGATCAAGTGGCTTTACGGCTTTTCAGACGTCACAAAAATAGTAAACCTGTGAAGGATCAATATCTAGGTACGCATGCTTCATGCTCCCAGTTTTTGCATTAATGACATTGTATCCAATCTACTTCAAATGTTTCTCCACAAATAATGCACTCGGTATCTTGGTCTCTTGACAGTTCGTGGATGTTTCGTTTGGTTTTCATGTTATTTTTCCCTTTCCCTTAGCCCTCTTTATAGTCTCTGCCGCTTCAGATTCGTTACCTAATTTTGTGTGTTTATTAATAAAGATTATTTAAATGTATATATAGAAGATGACAGAATTTCGCTCTTTTGAGTTTTTCGTGAACGCGCCTTCGAATCTCCCTAGTTTTGGAACCAAGTTA